ATCAGGAACCTAAGTGAACCCTCAGATTTCACTATGATGCATATGCGTAGCCAACTAGATGAGCAGAAGGATGATTCTGGCAGTAGCCTCAAAATTCATCGATGGTGTGAAGAATGATGAGCTTCGAACCATGTTAGCGACGCATTACACACCGCTTTCAACCAATGCGCCAACACCAGAGGAGTTGAGACTCAAGTCAAAAGAATATATTTTACTGAAGCCTCTATCGAGATCTGCATATTAAAAAAACAATTATGGTAATTTTAACAACGGACTAGCAACCAAGTTAACAACTGGTACAAACCAAGGAACGATATGGACGAAGGGACGCTCTTGTGCAAATTGCAGTTCGACGGACCCTCATGTGTCAGCATGCCCAATCTATAAACAGGGCATGAAAGCAATAGGCTTTAGCCTCGAGGACGAAGATGCGTTAGAGGTCGATCATGAAAATTTCATGAGAGGAATAATTGCGCGAAATTTGGCCCAAGGTGTTTCTTCTGTAACTTGGAAGTCATTTTAAATCGGATTGTCCACAATTTAGTGATGCTGTGGCAGACATCAAGCATCCACGGCATGAGAAAGCTTTATCGGGTGTGAAAGCCAGCAAGGCTCGCCTGTTGAGTGAAGCGGAGGCACGGAGAAAGGAAAAACCACAAGAGCTGGCTATAAAGAAGATGCAAGCAGTAACTGAAGAAATACGTGAACCGGAACCGGTAACTGCGGCAGATGACTTCAAGATCGATTATAGAGTAGCCAAGAGGGATACTCTAAATAGAGTCCAGCAGGAGTTGGTGACGAAGGAGATTGAATAAAAGGAGAAGCTCGAACTAGAGAATGAGAAAATTCAGGAGGAGCTGAACGCCTTCGAGGTATCAGAAATCGAAGAAACGAAACCAACAAGTAATTTGAGCATGAAACTAATTGTGACATCAGGGCAGACGTTCGGAATGGTGCCACAAGGAAGCAGAATACAGTCAATAATTTCAGTTGCGGGAGATTAGGTGATCAGGAACCTAAGTGAACCCTGAGATTTCACTATGATGCATTAGGACACATATGCAGATTATCTGAGGCAGGAAGAGCCACGCACTGAGTCGAGGGCTGTACGAGCGTTGTTGACAACGGGTGGCCCTCGAACGAAGAAACTCCACGGGCGCTACGTGGAAGTCTATGGACCTTATCAAGTGGTGTTGAACGTTGACGGGATAAGTATCTACACTAGGACCTACGTCACAACAGATAGCGACCAACTGGGGCAGATCTGTTTGGGACAGGAAGAACTTATGGTCCGAAGAATTGGCCATGATGCCATGATGGAGCAAGATAGAGTACACTTAGGATATGAGGCAGATGTGACTGCACAACTGCTAGATACCAGTGGGAAGAAAATTGGAGTAACAAGACTACTGAATACAGGAGCAGTGGTAAGTGTGATGCCAATAAAAACATGGGAAAGAATGGGCTTCACGAGGGACGATCTAATTCCAAAGAACCTCAGATTGGCGGCCGCGATCTTTGGATGAGCTTCCTGGTGGTTGAGAATATAGACGACTCAGATCAAGTCATCCTGGGCCACGATTTTGTCAGCATCTTCGATGTGATGATTGATTTGAACAACGCTCTAATAAGGATTAGAAACCCGGACCGGAAGTATGTTAAGAAACCAATTAATAGAACAATAATTGATGAAAACAAGGTACCAAACTTTTTAGATAGAAAGGTAAGACTACAGCCGGGACAAACTGTAATAGCAATTTTTAGAATGAGAAATTTAAATTCGTTAAAGGATAGTAATTAGGTTACGCTTTGCCGATGAAAACCGACTATGAGGAGACGCAAAACTTGAAGAGATATAGTGTGAAAGACTGCCCGAATCATGCTGATAAGGATAAAACTTTAAAGAGAATTGATGAATTTAAATCTATTAAAAAACTATTTTCAATGAAATCCGAAACGGATGACGGCATGTCGAGCTGCTCGAACTTTCTGGAAAGACCCTCGTCATATGAACTTGAATCCGACAAACCGGTTTTGGCGGAGATAGAACACTTGAGAGGGAAAATAGGTGAGGGAGATTTTGAATCATTAAGGGTGGTTTTAAATTGGAATGCGGACGTATTTTCAAAATATAAGGCGGACATCGGTTGCTGCAACTTCGTCGAACACGAAATAGAATTAGAGGAGGGCGCCATTCCTCATAGGGAAGGCGCAAGGCGAATGACGCCTCATAAAACGGAAGCGTGCCGAGCGGAAATAGAAATATTGCTCGAATACGACATGATAGAACCCACGAAATCGCCTTGGGCTTGCGAGGTAGTCATGGCCAAGAAGAAGGGGGGCAGCTCAGGTTCTGTTACAACTTTCGTTATCTGAACGCAAGGACAATAAAAGATGCGTACCCGACACCGCGAATAGACGAGGCAGGTAGAGCCACGCACTGAGTCGAGGGCTGTACGAGCGTTGTTGACAACGGGTGGCCCTCGAACGAAGAAACTCCACGGGCGCTACGTGGAAGTCTATGGACCTTATCAAGTGGTGTTGAACGTTGACGGGATAAGTATTTACACTAGGACCTACGTCACAACAGATAGCGACCAACTGGGGCAGATCTGTTTGGGACAGGAAGAACTTATGGTCCGAAGAATTGGCCATGATGCCATGATGGAGCAAGATAGAGTACACTTAGGATATGAGGCAGATGTGACTGCACAACTGCTAGATACCAGTGGGAAGAAAATTGGAGTAACAAGACTACTGAATACAGGAGCAGTGGTAAGTGTGATGCCAATAAAAACATGGGAAAGAATGGGCTTCACGAGGGACGATCTAATTCCAAAGAACCTCAGATTGGCGGCCGCGATCTTTGGATGAGCTTCCTGGTGGTTGAGAATATAGACGACTCAGATCAAGTCATCCTGGGCCACGATTTTGTCAGCATCTTCGATGTGATGATTGATTTGAACAACGCTCTAATAAGGATTAGAAACCCGGACCGGAAGTATGTTAAGAAACCAATTAATAGAACAATAATTGATGAAAACAAGGTACCAAACTTTTTAGATAGAAAGGTAAGACTACAGCCGGGACAAACTGTAATAGCAATTTTTAGAATGAGAAATTTAAATTCGTTAAAGGATAGTAATTAGGTTACGCTTTGCCGATGAAAACCGACTATGAGGAGACGCAAAACTTGAAGAGATATAGTGTGAAAGACTGCCCGAATCATGCTGATAAGGATAAAACTTTAAAGAGAATTGATGAATTTAAATCTATTAAAAAACTATTTTCAATGAAATCCGAAACGGATGACGGCATGTCGAGCTGCTCGATCTTTCTGGAACCACCCTCGTCATATGAACTTGAATCCGACAAACCGGTTTTGCCGGAGATAGAACACTTGAGAGGGAAAATAGGTGAGGGAGATTTTGAATCATTAAGGGGGGTTTTAAATCGGAATGCGGACGTATTTTCAAAATATAAGGCGGACATCGGTTGCTGCAACTTCGTCGAACACGAAATAGAATTAGAGGAGGGCGCCATTCCTCATATGGAAGGCGCAAGGCGAATGATGCCTCATAAAACGGAAGCGTGCCGAGCGGAAATAGAAATGTTGCTCGAATACGACATGATAGAACCCACGAAATTGCCTTGGGCTAGCTAGGTAGTCATGGCCAAGAAGAAGGGGGGGGCAGCTCAGGTTCTGTTACATCTTTCGTTCTCTGAACGCAATGACAATAAAAGATGCGTACCCGACACCGCGAATAGACGATAGCCTCTCGAAATTTGATGACCACACTGGACTTGGGTTCTTCGCACCTTCGGCTTGTGCAACGTCACGGCCACTTTTCAAAGACTGATGGCTCAGGCTTTGGCCAGAGTGACGAAGAAGTACGGCAACCTTGTGATGTGTTACATGGATGACGTGGTCATAGCAACACCCACCTTGGAAGACCACATTGATTGGCTCGATGAGGTCTTTGGCTAGACGAAAAGAGCAGGCTTGAAATGCAAACCATCAAAAAGTGAATTCCTTAGGGATTCAATCAAGTATCTGGGAAAATCGGGGACAGGCATGGCGTGAGGCCGGACCCGGAAACAGTGGAGGCTGTGTTGACATGGAAGGCTCCCAGAACGGACACACAACTCATGAGCTTCCTAGGGTTTGCCAATTATTACCGTCAGTTCATAAAAGGATATGCAGACGAGGTGTACCCTATGCAGAAACTGATGCCCAACAAAGGAAAGAAGTTCGAATGGAACGAAGAAGCTCAAGCTGCCTTCGAGAACATAAAGCGGGAACTGTGCGAAGCGCCAGTGCTAGGCATGCCTACAGATAAGGGCATGTATGTTCTTGATACAGATGCATCAGTAGTGGCCATCTCAGGAAGACTGCATCAGGAGCAGGAATGGAATGGGGGAGCAGTTCTTCGTCCCAATGCATATGACAGAAAAGGCAGAAAAGTTTGCAGTGGTCACATTCGAGGAGAAGTACCGCGCATACTTAGGGAGCGCTCCCTTTAAGTTACGCGTGGAAAATAGAGAGTTATCCTGGTTGAAGACGTTCTCGATGGACCAGAGCTATATTGGTCGGTGAATAGTCAGATTAGACGGGTACCACATGATAATCGAGCACAGGATGCGTGACAAACATCAGAATGCTGACAGCCTCAGCAAGAAGATCGAGTTTTATGAAAGACTTGAACAGAAGCCAGCCAATCAGGCAGAAATCAAGGAGGGGTTCTCGTTTCTGATGAAACTCGAGGGATTCAGGAATTGACACTTACTCAGACAGGAACTCGAGCACTGGATCTGAATTGTCAGAGCTAGCGATCCTCACGTTGCTAGTGGAGACTCGAGCAAGAGACCTGGACAGAGAGTTACATCAAGAGCCTGACAGTGATGAGTTTGTTGTTGTTGTCGCAGAAAGAAGTGGCCAGGACTGATCTTCAACCCTTCAGACAAGAGACAGAGCCATTGGCGAAAAATGGTGCGTGAAGATGGAAGATGACACACATCAGCCAGATGAAACGAATAGTCACTTGAGGGCCATGAAGACGTACTTGAAGGCGAGATAAAGACTCTCAGACCTATTAAGAGCACAAAGAAACGACCACATGACTAGTAACTTGAAAAGATGGATCTAAAATGGAACACCAGACGAAGGTGACCTGGAGGAAGACAGTTACCGTATACTGAGACAGTAGTTTATGCAGAAAGAGGGAAGGTTATATCTGCACAAGGACGGGATCGTGGCTTGTAAGAGAAGAGAAGAAGATAAAGTCCTGTAAAAATATAACGCGATAGTGTTGCCGCAACTCTATCAGACAGAACTCTTATTCAGGTCGCATGATCAGATGGGCCATCAGGGAATCGACAAAGTATATCAGAGGAACCTAAAGCGCTTTGAGTGGCCTGGAATGAAGAAGTCATGCGAGAAGTGGGTAACAGCATGTCTGTCATGCCAACAGGTCAAGGATCCAAGTGAATTGAGATTTCCCTTGCAGTCGATTGAATCATCTGAATTCAACGAGGTGGTGCAGATTGACCACCAGAAAATATGCATGACAGACAGTGGCTATAATCAGGTCTTGGTCATGATAGACCTGTTAACGAAGTATGCAGAGGCTGTGCCCTACATAAATGCCTCAGCAGAAGAGACGAGCGATCATCTAATCAATAAGTGGATAGCGAGACATGGTTGTCCGATGACGTTTCAATCGGATAACGGAACAGCTTTCGCGGGAGAACTTGCGAAAGAGCTCATGAGACGTTCACAGATGGCTCAAGCTCACTCCACGACATACCATCCCCAGACGAATGGCTTAGTGAAAAGGTAAAATCGGACGCTGGTGTCGATGCTGAGGGTATATTGTTCCAGGTACATGACCGACTGTGACAGATACCTTCCACAGGTGATGGGAGCTTACAACAGCACGCAACACTCCACCACCGGAGTTAGTCCACATATGATTTTAACCCGACAAGAGAAGTCTTTGCTCTTGACTTTCTTTTACCCAGAGTATGAAGGGAAGAAAACATCACCACAAGTTCCATATGGAAGGGATGTGATTAGATGTCAGCAAGAACTAAACGACTTGTGTAGGCGGAACACTCAGCAGGCACATGCAAGGCAGAGGAAAAAGTTCGATAAAAAAGCAGCTGGTGCAAAAGCTTACTCGGTAGGATACTACGTATGGGTGTTTCAAAACGTTATACCATCGAACGGGATGAAAAAGCTCCTAAAAAGTGGAGGGGACCCTTCATGATTACGGAAGTGCATCAGGAGGGACGTTTTTATAGACTGAGTACCGGCCGAGCCGCTCACTACGAAAACATTAACCACACAACCCATCGACAGAAGACTGGTGTATACCTGCAGACATGGAAGATGGGGATTATCTGATGATGGACCCTGCCTGTGAGGTCAATGAGAAGGGCACCAGGGAAAAGAATGATGGCAATGAGGTCGTAGAGGAAGGGTCAAGTCCGCGGTCAACGGACCTGGATCCCAACGAGGTGATTGAAGCAGATGAAGAAACCTTACCCTACGCAGAAGAGGACTGGCAAGACCCGGAACAGATGGCGGTCCCCACAAGTTTGGAACCAGATCTTCCGTTTACCATAAAGACTCGATAGAGTGACAGGACACGACTCACGAAGAAATACAAGACTTACGGAGATGACTTCGCAGTAGACAGAATGGATCTGAAGAAGATAGTGGAAGAACTGGTGGGTCTAGAAGAAATAACCGTGTCGCAAGACATCGACATAGTCGACGACCGCGACAAGGATTGGATCGATGACCGGTCCAAGCCCGAGGTAGAATTCGACGGCGAGCAACAGCGATCCTATGAACAAGACTTGACGAATCTGCGTGTCTTGGAATGGCTGAACAAATTGACGTCGGACTCAAAGGAGACCAGTGTCACGATTCAAGATGCAGACCGTGAGAGCATGAAATACATAAAAACTGAAAGGGATGATCCTTGCTGTGCTGCCCAGGAAGGGCAAGTACTCATCCCTGCATGCAACCTCGATTTAATATCTGTTATGCGATCGACGGGGACGTCGATGGATAATTTTGTCCGAGGAGTGGGGGTAGTACTTACGCACGCTGAAAAAATATTAATTAAAAAATTAAGAATAGCAAGAGAGACAGGTGATCTAGAAGCAGCGATAGGCGAGGACCCTGAAAAACCGGACATAGGGAGTGTACTTGAGTCACATTTTAACCTGCCAAATGAATACTCAAGTAGCATAATATTGACAGATAGCGAATTTTTACTCACAAATAGAACATGTGCGATAGCGATCACAGCGGACATGAGTTTTAAGACAGCGTTAGCAGCGGATTTTAAAAGAGCATATAAAAACTTAGAATTCCTTTGGAAGCAAAGACCAGGAATAGGAGGCGTAGCACAGTTGAGTCGTACCGGTAAAGTATCTATGCTTCTTGGTGACGAGGGTGACGAAGAAGCAACATGTGAACCCGGAAAACCTAGTCTTGTCCTTGACGAGACTGAGAGACTTCCTTGCGGAAAGGGAGGTGAAGGAACTCTCGCTTCCAATATACGACCCGAACCGAAGAAGACTGCATCCACGGGAGCGGTTTGCACTGATATACGTAATCTTGTCTGATACTAACATACAAGTATACTTACATAAGAAAAATTATTTGAGTATATGCTGGTAGAATTCCAAAATTTTAGCAATAAACTGATTTTAGTATATTTTAAGATCAAAATCTTTTTATCTGACTGTTTTAAATAAATTTTAATACAAAATTAGAGTGACGCTGACAGATTTGAGATTCGTGATCTTTTTTTTCTAGATCCTGATTGATCGTTTAATTAATCAACTGATTTGAATTGATAAAACTGATAATAGGATTCAATCTAAAAGAAGATGGACAACTTCGACTTGAAAGAATTGATGGACCTGGCAGAGGCGTACGTAGGACGATGATAGATGCGATCTATCGTCGGCTGATGGACCGAGACTTCGCTCTGGAGGACCAAGAAGTAGCCATGTTGCAAGTCGCCTTAATAAACATCTTGGGGCATGATAACCGTGGGGACCGCCCCACGGAAGTTTTATTGATGGCCGTATATGGAGAAAGAGGAGTACTAGACCGCCCAAACGTGAGGGTAATGTTGTGGAGAAACGGGGCTCTCTCAGAAAGTGACTTGGCGAGCTAGCCTGGATTGGGAAGTTCCAAGACCTACCAACCAGGTGAGATGCCTCTGCAAACCAAACCTAGGCCTGGTCTGAGAAGAATGCATCAGGAGATGAACAATGAGGCTTCCTCGTCTAGTTCACAACTGAGGGCAGCTGCGCCACCAAAGAGGGCGAGGGTAGGAGAAGAAGTTCAGACGAACGAAACCATGCAAAATCTTAACGGAACGATAGAAGAGCTGGAGAAGACCAGAAGGGAGCTGGATGAAACGATCAAAACCGTGCTCAGTACGGAAGAAGACAGAGATATGTGTAAAAGACTGTTTGAAGATTGCTGCAAGAAACAGGGTCAAGAAATAGAACGCTTGGGGAAGGAATATAAAGAGCAACCGGAACGGCTGGCGTTGACGACGGCAGTGGAAAACGTGATACCTGCAAGGAATGTTCCTCGTGGGCAGTCCCCGATGAAGCTTCTGACGCCTCGCAAACTAAGTCAAACAACGGAGGTGCGACCCCCAACTACACGATAGGGAGACCCGAGTGACACAATTCCGGACCCGAGTGGCATCCTAGGTGACCCAGTCGTGGAGCAAACAGTGAGAAAATTGATAGAAACAGCTGGACGATTGGTCGCTAATAGGAATGCGCCAGGTTCCGCGGTGACTGCACCCTATGGGACAATAGATGATACGGGCAGAGTACAACTCTCTCAAGAGACGATGGCGAGAACGGGAGTTAGTGATACAACGTTACCAACAAAGAGCTCTAAGGTCCCAGACAGGAAGCTACGAGAAATGCCGACGAAGAAAGTGTCCCGAGTGATTGACGTGCAAATGAACAACCAGGTGAAGAATAACTTCACAGGAGTTCCGGACACGGATCCGCGAGCCTGCTTCAATCAATCGACTTGGAGCCCAGCAGTAAACCTGCAGCAACCGCCACTTGGGACATCACATCTGATACTGGGTGACAGCTTGGTGAGAATACTCCAGAACCTGAGGACCTCCTGGATCACTACGGTGATGGCCTTTGGAGGTGCAAAGATAGCTGATATATTTCGAATGGTGGAGCTAATGAACCCAGGGAGGATCCATAACATAATGATCCTAATAGGGACGAACAATGTTTCTAGAGGCTCAGATGAGGAAAAGCACAATGAGAGTCGATGATGGTGTGCCTATTCACTACTTTCTGGCAGAAAATCAAGTGCGCGGTACTGACCGTCTGCACCGTACCAATGAGCACAAAAACGTTGAAATCGACAGGAAGAAGACATAATGAATGAGTCATCAGGTGGAACAACATACTGAGAAATCTAGCGAGTCGGAATGCTAGACGGATGATCCCTGTGGACATTGAACACGAGCTGAGAGCTATGGATCAGGCCAGACTAACCACCGATGGGATCCACTTAGACAGTATCGAAGGAAAAGTCTGGATGAACCGAGTCTTCCAGGAGCGACTGGATGAAATGGAAGTCGAGCTCTTTGACACGGGAGTGCTAAAGAAGGAAGAAACAACGAACGAGCCGGCAATTTCAACCTTTGTGCCCCCTAACCTGGAAACACGTCTGGGAATGGTCCCAGCCATGACCTATAGGCCGCAAAGCTCTAGAGAGCCAGGGAAAAGGACAGATGTACAGAATCGATTGGGAGAAGAGCCAATAAGAAGAACTATTCATCCAAGACAAAAATTAGGACCTGTCAATCCGACCGCTGAGACGACAAGCACCTGGAGATCAGAGACAAGATCATAGACAACGAGTACCAGCCGAGAAGAGCGACGACCAGACAGGAGCTCTCTGATATGGTCGAGGCCCTTACTTTCTCCCTTGCATATCTGCAAACAGGACCTGATGAAATTGAATCTTCAGACAGTAAGGTTTGCAGCAGATGCCATGAGGATGTTAAATGGAGCGAGACTATCCGTCAATTGTTTGTACTTGATCGCAGGCGTGGACTGGTCGATAGCAGCTGGCATAAACTTCAAAGTCACGACCCCCTTGAGATTTGCTGATTTAGAGGGACTGCCCTCAAACAATACAATGTGTCCAGTAAACGCAAGACCTCTGCAAGATAAAAAAACTGAATCATGATGAAGGAAATCGAAAAGAAAGGCATGGAAGATTCTTGACAACGAGGGCACCAATAGGACAACACGTGAAAATGTTCAAATAGATACGAGCACCCCCATGTCACGTAAAAGATAGAGCGTACCCGAAACAAGTGACTCAAGAAGGCGATGCTCAGAGATATGGTGGATTGAAGACGATTAGGAAAGATGAGACTATCTTTACAGCGTATGACAAAGCAAAAATTGAATAATAGACAAAGAAGAAATTGAAGTATGAATTGTCAAATAAGAGGCTTAGCTTCAATCCGGAAAGGTCTTGGGAAAGAAAATACACCTTTCCTAGTTAGTTCCTACAGCATAATAGCATCGGAGAACGTATCCGGAAGGGTATCGGGTGAAAATTTGAAAAGTCCCGGAAAAGCTATTTTTGCCAATCCGGAAGGGTACTTTTTTGCCAATCGGGAGGGGTCCTGTTTTTGCCAATCCGGAGGGTCCCAATTTTGCCAATCCGGAGGGGTCCTGTTTTTGGCAATCCGGAGGGTCCCAAATTTTGCCAATCCGGAGGGGTCCTGTTTTTGCCAATCCGGAGGGGTCCTGTTTTTGCCAATCTGGAGAGGTCCTGTTTTTGCCAATCCAGAGGGGTCCAAATTTTGCCAATCCGTAGGGGTCCTTTTTTTGCCAATCGGAAGGGGTCCTGTTTTTGGCAAACCGGAGGGGTCACAATTTTGCCAATCCGGAGGGGTACTATTTTATCAAAACTTAAGTGGACAGAAAAAAGTAAAAAATAAAAGGTATTAGGTTATTAGGAGACATGCTAGGAACCAGTGACTGCACTGGTAACTTGCCTTTTATAAAAGACCAGACTCAAACAAAACAGGTCTAAACCCGGATATTTGCGACACTAAGTCTAAATTGAACAAGAGTTCGTAACTGATTTGTGTGGATTGAAATACAAATCATTTTTGGGAAAAGTGATTGCACTGAGGATTTTAGTAGGTCTAGCTCGGGCGTTTCGAAG